TACTGTACCTCAATTTCCACATACTGAATCGTCCTCAGATTCAAAATGACACTGTACCGTCGATCTTACTTCCTTCATTAAATTAATGTTCTCGTGGTTTTGGAAAGGCCGAACTATCATAAATCAGACAATAAACGTTTGACCTGACTCGCGTGACACAATGTTTTGGCTATGCAACGCAGAGTGTGACTCACGGATGAAGATGATTAGCATGCAGATCTGTGCTCGATCACCTGATCGGGCTCACGACGAGACCAGTCGCCTATCAACTCTGTCTACTGAAATGCGCTAATAGTAGTCTGTTTTTAAAATCCCTGTCCCAATAGATGATCGGGCAAGCGTTCTGCACGATGGTTTTCGTGTTGTTTTTGAGGGGAAAACAAACGCCTTCAGTTCTGGAAGCACCAAACCGGAAGGCGTAACTCTGTGGACCAATTCCAGCTAACAGAGTGGATTTTGCAGATCCCAGAAACTGAATGAAAAGGCTGATCTGTTATTCAGTGTGCGTTCGCAAGGGATTCGAAATCATAGGGTCAACTAAATAAGTACTTCCGAGTATAAGAATACTGAGTTGAATACTGATTCTGATATTGAAAAACTCGTTCATTGAGGCAATGTACTTGATAAAACGAAATTCAGGTTACCCACAACGTTTCAGCCGTCTTGGATTGGCTTTATCAAGCGAATGTGTAAGCTATGAGGCAAAAATGAAGTCGAACTTTTGGGGAGGGAATAAGAAAAAAAGGTGCTGAGGACACCATGTTGGAAGCTCATTCATCAGGGACGCCCCAGTTCTGCTTCATAAAACTTTTCAAATCAAAGTGACATTATTAACACATTGTGAGTGCAATTGTCTTGAGATGGGACATGCAATTCCGAAGCTTGGCGGCGTCATCGTTTGAAACTAAATTAGTAAACAGAAGTTCCTCCCGCAATCCATACATTCAGCCTAGTCCCAGAAACGGTCGACCAAGCCTGATCAATAATTTAGCAATCCAATGGCAGTTAGGCCTTCTGGGATCGATCTGGTTGTGCGTAAAATTCATGTTGCTTACTACAGCAATCGATGGCAGCTAGATCCACTGGCTCATCTGAGTTGACCTCGTGCTTCTAAATAGGCATGTTACAGGACACTATTTCTATTTTCTAACACCACTGGCAAACTTTGTTCTCAAATATGTGAACTATCGTGAATCGGAACGGCGTTGACGACTTTTGTTTGACTACAATGCAAAGTATTTGCAGTTCTTTGATTCAGGCAAACCTTACTGGGTGCGATATACGATCACTGCCAAACCCATGTAACAGTTTTGATTTGCTGCGCGTTAACAATCAAAGATAAACGCAAACAGGCGTTGAGCAATCTGCACTTGGCTGAGATGGCTCAAGTGGCTAGAGCGCAGATTTACCAACCGGAAGGTCCGTGGTTCGAACCCGACCTCTGTCTCTCGACTTCCTCTGTCTAGGCTTAGGAAACCTGGCAGTGTCCCAACCTTCGTGCTTCCTTCCGGTAGCATGGCAATTGGACACCGAAAGGCTGCTACAGCACTTGACGAGATCAGTTGACTGGCGCGTCGCTCGTGGTCTAGCAGTTGTAAACGTAACAAAAATTTCGTGTGACCATCGCCAGTAGTCTGGTCAGCAAGTAAGTCTAAACATAGAGCAAAGGGGTTTATGGCTGAGTTTTCCACAATTCGTGAGTTCGAATACAAGCCCGCAGCTTGAAGAATTGGTGATTCGATCGATGCACTATCCTTACCACTCGATAGTCCATACATGTACATATATTCACTTGAATAAGTTAACAGCTATCGAGTACAATAATTATACCTCAGTTCTGCTGACTAATAGTGGCTGTTGTCTGAAATGTGTTCTTCTAATGAGGATGCGCTTAACCTAGACAAAGAAAACTTTTCACAGGTTGTTCTCCTGACTTCAGCTATCTGGTCTGTTATTTTTTTCAACATTTCTGCGTCTTTTTCCAATATATTCATAAAGTGGAAGTCCTTACAGTTTTGGTTCATGAATGAATGGTTTGCTCGCATGTCAAGTCTAGTAAAAACAAACTTTACAATTCAGCTATTGACTCATTTAGACACGAGAATAGTCAGGTGGGCATGGGGTTCACCAACAGTCAATGACCAGGGTAACATTGGGTTAGGTTTCTCCTGAGGAATTCCACCGATAATAAGTACCTAAACAAACGAACCAAGAATTCAACGCTCGTCTGGTTCCAACCGACATATGGCTCCTTGAGCTGGTTTGGAGTTACTCGCTCTTTAGTAGTTGCTGCGTGCATCATCCAAATGACGAGGTTATGTTCAGTGTACGTGAATAGCAGCTTGTTCAAAATTACTGAAAACACAAGGCAGTTGAGAAAGTGCAACTTTATATTACCGATCTTTAGATATTTTTGCGGCTGTGGAATGAACTAATTGACCAGAAGGTCAGTGATTCGAACCCGACTGCAGCATCTCAACTGCTCTCGTCTAGGTTTGAGCATCCTCGCAATACCTCTGCCCGGATGTTCCTCTTGTGTAGCATGACATCCACGCACCGAAAATGCAGTACCACTAAAAGACGATTATTAGTTTTTAGTAGTATGATCATAAATAATGTGCTTGTTTGGCTGACACGTGATGCAACGGCCATTACGTTGATCCACTACAAAGAGTAGTAATTCAAGAGTCAAAAAAGTGATCACTCTCTGTCAACATTTTTAGCCTTCAAGTCTTTTCAGCAAACAGAGACCGGGCCGAGGTAAATTGATTCGCAATCTATACAAGCTTTGGTTAAAACTACCGCATCAGCGAGACCATCAGGCTCATATGAGTAGGCCCAACCACTACTATTATTAGTGATTTCCTGGACAGCAATAGCCTTTGGGCATAGGTAGTTTCTTTGCGTCATGCGATGCCATTATCAATGCCAGTAAACTTCTTCCCCTTTCATTCCACATTATGGAGAAAAATTGCACTACTGAAATTTCACTAAGTATTAATTAGTTGACATAGAAGTATAACCGGCGAATCAAGTTCAATGGAGTCTGTCATGCCATATTTTAGATTTGCAACTTTGCCACAGAAATGTAAAATGCATTTGGTCGAAGCTCAGAGGATCAATTCTGGCGTTTTCCAGCTAACAGGAAACAGTTACGTTTATTGCTTCTCATCCGTTCAGCAAAGACTGACTTTAGTTTCATGATGAATGCTTAACTAAACTCACAAAATTTCGTTTATCTTCATTTTCCGCTCTAATTCTTAGTCTTTGGCCAACGGCGAAAACAGTTTCCAAACGTTAAATTGCATTCAGTGAGTGAAAAGTTGTAGAATAACGTTTGATTTTTGTACTTACGCGATCCTGCATGCGGGCGCTTTTATTCGACTAAGCGATGGGAAGCAGCTGAACCCAGTTTGTTCCTCAAAAGAGGTTACCATTGATTTCAGTCCACATAGATGTTCATGCCTGAACTTTACTCATGTACTTTAGCAGGCCAAAAGCCTAACTGGCGACAGCAAATTGTGAGTAAACCAGCAAGCGGTTGTAAATAACTCATGTGCAGTGGCTGGAGCGCGAATTTACTAACCAGAATGTTCGTGATTCAAACCAGACCGCTTCGTCTCGACTTCGCCTGACTAGGTATGGGGAGCCTGGTATTATCCTTCGTGCTTCCTTGGGGTGGCATGGCTGTTAGGCACTGAAAGGGTGCTACAGCTGAATCGGGTACTTTAACCAGCCACAGACGCACTAAAACGTCGTAGGCGTGTGTGAACCCTATTCTAATGCCACGCTGTCGCTTACTTGTTTCTTGAATAAGGTCACATCATTCCTAGCAGTATTGTACGCTTTCTATTCACTAGACAGTTGCGATTTCATAGCTTGTGATTTAATAATTGAAACGCTGTCAAAGCTCTCCTTGTGTTCGCAAGTAGTATAATAATAATCCTTCAGTGCATTTCGAACCCACATCACAGAGCGTTGTGTCGATGCCTCATTCATGGGTTGCGTAGCAATCATATTGGAGTTCCTGGAAAACTGCACTAGAACGAACTCCCGAATAGTCTGTGCGATTTAGTTTACGTCCAACCAGACTGTCCCTATCCCATTGCATTTATGGTGTAGTCGTAAATGATCACAAAAATAAAAATCGTACGCCCAAGTTGAGAAGGATAGACGGTTGAATAAACTCCCTGCTTAGGTAGACTGACTCACGCGGGCTTTAGCCTTTTGCTTAAAAGTTTTCAACTACTCACGAGTAGTCAGATGATTATCCGAATTGAGATAAATGGAGTTAGCAACGGTCCGACGCCATAATTACCCAATACAAGCTAACGTCACATATTTTTCATGCACTTAGTTATTCAGCCTTCACAATGCTATACGTCAAGGAAATATTAACCATCTGGCCTTGAAACCTGCTTCGAAGTGCCTTTCCAACGAATCGATAAGGCTGTGTAAATTAAGTACGACTAGGATGCCGTTAGATATTTTGCTCAAAAGTTTCCAACAACTAACCAGTAGTCAGAAATTATCCAAATTGGGTAATACGGAGTTACCGAAAAAATCCTCCAGCATAGCTATCCAGTTCCAGCTGAATTCACATCCTTTTCGTGCTGATAAGATTTTTTTCTGTTTCAGAACTCTCCACCCAATCGAACAAAGTAAGTGATCACTAGGTCCCCTAAGAACCCACGGCAGCTTCTTACAAACGGATAAATTATCGAAGTCTGAAAGACTTTGTAAGAAATTCCAAGTAAGTTTCGATTTTCATATCACAACCCTGAATCTGTTCTTTTGTCAAGTTTGGTGATGACTCGCTGTCACTTGGAAGTGTATTTATAGTTGTTTGCGCACCAACTTGAATATAAATTGAACTTCATCTTACTTAGTTGATCTGATATGAGTGATGTGCAGTTGACCCATAATAATGGATTTCTATTGCATCAGTTTTGGTTGTCTCTCCTCATGAAATTAGCGACCATTTTCAGATCTGCGCGTGCCTATGGCACACGGTCTATAGCTGATAAACTGATTGATTGATTGATTGATTGATTGATTGATTGATTGA